TTCATTGTTTTTAAATTTCTATTATTCTTACTGTTCTTCGCATTAGATAATTCTTATTGATCTGAATTTAAGTTTACTAATTTTTTATTTTGTCATTTCCACTCTTCACATAACAATATCCAGTGAATTTTTCTTTCAAATATTGTACTTTTCAGTTCCATAATTTACATTTGGTTCTTCTTTTATTTAAAAAAAAAAAAAAAGATGACCAGTAAGGGGATGTTGGTGGTTTCAGCACCACGCTCTCCCAAGTGAGCTAACTGGCCATCCCTACATAGGGATCTGAACCCATGGCCTTGGTGTTATCAGCACCGCACTCTCCCAAGTGAGCCACGGGTCGGCCCTACATTTGGTTCTTCTTAATACTTTCCATTTTTCTGCTGAGATCCCCCATTTTTTCAGTCATGATGAACATGTTTTTCTTTACATCCTTGGACATATAATAAAAGTTGCTTTAAAATTCTTGTCTGAAAATTCCAATATCTAGGTCACCTCAAGGTCTATAATAGTATGGTGACTACTTTCTCCTTTGACTATGGATCACATTTTCCTATTTATTCACATATCTTTAAATTTTTGATTAGATGATGAACACTGTGGATAATATGTTATAGAGATTCTAGACTTCGTTTTTCCTTTAAACAGTGTCGATTTTTTTTCTACCAAGCAATTAAATTTTTAGCTGATTAGTTTAAATTTGTAGATGTTCATTGTTACACTTTATTAGGAAGGATCTGTTTTGAATTTGCCCTTAGTTTTAGGGAACTCCTTTACTTTGAAGATGTAGCCCTTCTGAGGTTTTCAACAGAAAACTTGAGGTGTTTACCAACACCCTCCAACTAAGGTGACATTCAAACTCCAGACTCTACAGGCAATAGCTGTAGGCAGTAGGTAGCAGTTGAAATCTTTGCTCAGCATTTTCAGTTTTCTAGTTAGTGTTTTCCACTGGGTTCACTGGCATCTTCCCCACACACATGAAGTTTAGGGATCATTCAAACATTGATGGGAATTTATATACAGAATTTCTTCTGTGTGGCTTTATTCTCCATTGCTTACTTCTTTCTGGGATTTCCTCCTCTAATTCCCAGCCACTCTGGAAGCCCTAAATTCCATCCCATGACATCTCAAGCTATTACAATTGTGGTTTTCTCTTTGAGTTCTAGTTGTTCTTTGTGAACTGAGAAATGCCCTCAGGAGAGAAGGTATATAAATGTATTTCTCACTCAGTCCATTTTTCTTCTTTCAAGTATCAAATTTCCTACATTCTCAGCCTTCTTTTACTTAGACTTAAAAGTTTTTTTGTTTTTGTTTTTTAAATATTTTGTTCAGAGTTTATAATAGCTATGTTCAGGAGAGTTAGCCTAATATATGCCTTCCATCATTAACATAACTGGAACTCTGTCACAGGTATTTTAATTTATGTTTTTGTGTGTGTCTGCACATGCACGCGCACATGTTAAGATTAAATTGCTCCTTTCATCTTCCTAAATATTCATAGGATCACTAAATATCCTGACAGGATCCTCAGGTGTTTTCCAGACTACTCTGTGCTACCAGGCAATGACTGTCTAAAACCAATTATGACTAATGTCCTGTTTTTAAAGGAGGCCAATGAGAAAAGATGCTTCTTTAAGGTAATGAGCTCTTATGTCTGGAGGTTTCCAACTTTAAACTAGAATTAAAGCATATTAGTCCATTTTCTGTCACTTAAAATGGAAAACCCGAAACTGGGTAATTTACAAAAAAAAAAAGAAATTTATTTCTTACAGTTTTGGAGGCTGGGAAGTCCAATGTCCAGGAAACACATCTCGTGAGGGTCTTCCTCTTAGTGACAACTAACTTGTTTACTTGCTCTCCTTATAAAGCCAGCAGAACCACTGCCTAATAAGCCATTAAACCATTTACCCATTGATGGATTAATCTATCCATGAGAGGGAGCACAGTTCTCATGATCCAATTACTTTTCAAAGGCCCTACTTTTCAAATACCATAATCAGATTTCCTACCCTCTTAATACTGTTACAATGGGGATCAAGTTTCCAATACATGAACTTGTGGGGGACACATATGGCCCATAGCATTAATCCCATATAATGGCTGTAAATGACTCACAGGGTCACAGAATTATATAGCTAGAGGGTAGAGGCATTACTGAAGCCAAGTCTCTCCCACCAAGCAATGAATATGAAAGAAATACCATTCCTAGTGCTTTGTGTTTGTTAGCTCCAGTTTACTTTGCTCTGCTTTACCCCTTTAGCTCTCATGCAGCCCATAATTTTTCATGTTTTACTTAGGTTTTCTTCCCTTGTTCCATTTTCTGAAGTCTGTATACTCCTGTATTCTGAGTCATTCTGATTGCTCTGACTCTTAATGCTATGAGCTGAAGTGTTTTCCCCCAAAATTCATATGTTGAAGTATTAACCACCAGGACTCAGAATGTGACCTTATTTGAAGACGAGAGTCTTTATGGAAGCAATCAAGTGAAAATGAGGTCATCAGGGTTGGCCTTATTCCAACATGACTGGTGTCCTTACAAAAAGGGACACAGAGACAGATGCGCCCAGAGAGAAGAGGATGCGAAGACACACAGGGAAAAGAAGACCATCTACAAGCCGAGAAGAGAGGCCTGGAATCTCTCTCCCCTCTCATCCTCCCCTCACAATCCTCAGAAGGAACCAACCCTGTCGACACCTTGATTTGGGTCTTTCAGCCTCCAGAACTGTGAGAAAATAAGTTTCTGTTGCTTAAGCCACCTAGCATGTCGTACTCTGTTACGGCAGCCTTAGCAAACTAATACACTTACCGCTTAATGAATAATCTGATCCCAGTTTTTCTACTTGACTCTGACTCATGGCTTTGCTTTGTCTCTTGAGACCATTTAATCCTCAGTATGGTAAATGGGCAAAAATCAGAAGGTTTATATTCTAATTTATCTCTTAGGTCGAATGACCTTTCTGATCCTCAGATTCCTTGTCTGGAACATGAGGATGCTGTCCCTGCCCTAATTACCTAAACCAAGCTCAAAGGAGGTGCTGCACAGAAGAGTGTAAATTGTTACGCAAACGTAAGGCATCCTGAGTCTCCCTCTTCACCTGTAACATGTCACACCTCTTGCCTAATTACAACACAACCACTGTTAGCGGGCACTTTGAGAGGGTTCACGTTTAGAATTCTCCACTCGAGAGAAATCCTTGCAACCTCAGACTTTGTTTCTGTTATTTCTAGATCAAGAGGCAGGATGTGAGGCAGATGACTATGAAACTGCTTTGCTCCATGAGGCGGGAACGTGGCAGGATGCTTCCAGCTTCCACCATTCCTTTATCCCCAGCTGTTATTTCTAGATCAAGAGGCAGGATGTGAGGCAGATGACTATGAAACTGCTTTGCTCCACGAGGCGGGAACGTGGCAGGATGCTTCCAGCTTCCACCATTCCTTTATCCCCACAGGGTTTAAAAGTAATTCCGCAGACGATGTTATTCTTACACATGTTATCAGAAATAAGGTACTGAGTCATAGAGATCAAGTGTTTTAGGGAAAGAACTTTTTGGAAATACATAAAGGAATGAGAACTTCAGTGGCATATCAAACTACATGAACAAAACTGGTAACTACTGAATGTGATTTTTAAAATACGGAAAAATTAGATATAGGACGCTAGTAGCTTTCCATTATATTTCGAATGTTCCTTTGTCTGTCCTTAAAGTAATTTTGTTACCGAGAATTTTAAAAATTGTTGCTTCTATAATACTTTTGTAAACTGATTTATAAAAAATATAACTTACTTCCAAACAGCTTACATTTTAGTTTCATAAATTCTTATCTAGTCTCAAATGCTATTCAAAAGAACTGACTTTTTCAATGATTCTACCCTTTTCAGTTCTCTATAATGCCTCAAGATGGCATTAAAACCCTTTTTCCATTACATTTTACAGCACAAAAGTTTTAAAAATTAGTAATATTTTGAACTATTTAAGACCAATCACATTCATTATACCATCAGAAACCATGACAATGGAGGTATTTAGACTTTTTGTGCAATATCTTAAGAAAGACAAACATATAATCACATCTCTTATGAAATATATAGCTATCCTTTTCAAGCCAAAGGATCATTTTAGACTGAGAAACAGATCTTGGACAAAATAAAACACTCAATATTATATCACAAACCATGATTTCTCATGAACAGCACTTTAAATGCTTGGTAATAAGAGCACTGATCCACATACAGATAAATTCACAAAGGCTGTCATTTAAGAAAACACATCTTACTCTTCAGAATTGATAAAAATAAAGATTTCTGAGGAGCAAACTGTTATGGATTCCTGTGAAGCTAAAACAAAATCATTTGTCAGCTCATAAATTATTTCATTTACATGTTGGTATACCAATTTGGCATCAAATTAATCAATAAACATGTATTTGCATTCCTTGAATATTAAGAAGAAAAAGATAAAACAGTGAAGGACACGTTTTATAAATGTCTTTTCTTATCTTTTTAAAACTGCTTTTGTTAATTAAGAAACATCGACAAACTCTTGGGATTCCAGACATATCTATAACTGTATTTTTCACATAATTCAGAGGTGAGATTGCAGGTGGCAGGCTTCGAAAATGACTTTGGTAAGTCACAGGTGTGTGGGCCAGAATATTTCCCAGTGCATGGAGTTCTGCAGTTCGTATGACAGTGCTAAAAGTCTCCAGCCAAAATCTAAAGGGCTTATCTCTCTTCTACCCCAAGTACACCCTTAAATCTCAGTACAGTTCTGCTTCATAAAGGGGATCATGTGCATTTTCAATATTCCTCTTAACTATGCTAAAGTATAAAGACCTCAAAATGCATCTGCACCCAAAGGCATTTAAAAAGGCATTATCATGAGAAAAGAGAACCCTGGGCGTCCTTCCATTATTATTATTTGTACTAAAAGATACTTGCACTATTTCACTTTATAAGGCATATTAAAAAACAGACATCTCTGACAGAAACAAGAAAGACTTACGATGTATTCGATGTGCCATTGTCTGGACTCTCTGGCTCGACATCACCTTTCTCTTAAAAAGGAAGCAGAAAAAAGTACCGACATGTGAGTCTTACAGTCTTCAAGATTTAAGAGAGATTAAATATATTTCCACGCTCCTATTAACAATCTTCCAAAATGTGCAGCAGGAGGCTTTTAAAACATCTTTTATTGTCAGAGAACTGGATTTGCAAAATAATTTCTTCTATGCAATGCAATTGCCCAGGCACAGATCTTGAGTAGGTACTAAAGAGCTATTAGCAAACAACCAGAGGCTTGGAGTGGAGACCTTGCCAGAAGATGAATATCTTACAGATGGAACCTGCTCCTTCCACTGCATTTTATAGAAAATTTAAGCATTAGCATTCTAATCTATTAGCATTCTAAATCCAAGGCACTTTGAACTTTGATCCCTTTTGGAACACAAGTCAGACCAGATCAGGCTGAATCAGAATGCGGAGGAGAGAATTTTACAGAACATTGAGGTTGCACCATAGGTCACAAGATCCCCTCAAACTATACTCCAGGGGAGCCTTGGCAGTAGGTTTTGAGGCTCCCAAGTTAAGGCAGAGTAAGATGTAAACCAGAAATCTTTCCTGACCATCTGCAAGGCTAGATAAAGAAATGTTTCTATGGACTATGGTCATTGAGGATTGCACAGGTTTTAGATGCGGGAGCCTAGACCCAGTTCACTTTTTGTAGTTTTAAAGTGCAAGTTCCTCTTGCAATAGGCATAGTGCGATTCCTAATCCTCGACCAACTGGTAGTATGAGCCATGCATCCTCATAGTATAAGGAGCTTCTTTTTATTTCCTTGAGGTGTGGGATGAGGCGAGAAGGGTCATTGTGACGGGAGCAGGAGTGAACTGTGGCAGCTGATGGTCATGCGGTGCCAGCAGCCGAATAAACCCCCGCGAGGGTTGTGAGTTGCGAGCACTGGGCCTGGTGGTGGCAACTTGCTTTGCTGTGCTCTTTCAGATCAGGCCTGGAGATCACCTAGAATTTCTCATGCTACTGTTCAGGCCCTCATGCTGACGCACTGTACTGCATCCTTTTGTCAGCTGTGAACATTAGTTTGTGGTCACCTAGTCTCAGGAATGACCCCCTGAATTACATAATGAACACACTCTGAAGATACTGTCCAAACTGAACTCAAAAGCAAACCTTATTCTCTTTTTCTAATAGGAATAACAGTTGTGAGAAAAAGAAGACATAGTTATTTATAGTTTGTACATCTATCTCAGACATAACTCCACGCCGTGTGTACGTAGTTCCACAACAACCATGAGGGACACCTACTTTGTTAAAAATATGGTCGGTTCAGGGGAAAATCAAAAAGCCACAAAATCAGTTTGAACTGCCTTGATAACAAACACTGATTTGACAGGGTCCTGATACATATGAAAACATGTTGACGTAAAGGCAAAGGCAGCAAATTAATAAACTTGCTCTAAACCTCACACTTTTATATTATATTTTGTCTTCCAGACCCGGTCTGTGGTGCACTCACTTAGGAGACATATAAGGCCTGGTCAACTGGCTTCAGTGCTGGAAAATAACCTAATTTATTACTTTCCAGAATCATTTTTCCACAATTGAGCAACCACAATTCCTGCCATAATCTCAAAATAGAGAGAACACCTACATTATGTAAAACAAAACTAAGTGGAGGTTTAATTTTTCTCAAATATATTGATCCTTTTTTCCCCTTTAATTTGGAGAAATTGATTACTTTCCCCAGTCCATAGCCTCTGGTAGTCACCATGTCCCATCATAATCAAGAGTGTAAAACAGCAAGCTTGGCAGCAGTAGGCAACAGCAAACATTTCCAAACAATTTATGCCAGAAAACAGGAAATCAATAATAAAAACAAAGACATTGTTTGGATGTTTGAATAAATATGTTTTACCTTTACCAATAATGCTGCCAAATAACCTGCAGGACACAGGCTTTACTGCACGTGGGATCTAGGGGCTGCAGGAGTTGTGGGCTGGCTTCAGCAGGGGACAAAGCTGCAACTGATTATCTCTGTTCTTAGCAGCACTCACTTATGTTGTGGCAACAGGGAAAACAGAACGGGTTCTGGCAAATAGGAAGGATACAATGGGGCCAAACAGGACGTTTATGGACAATCTGAGAGTGAGCATCTCAGCAACTTCAGTGCTGATAATAAATTAACCTTTCTGGGGAAATGTAAGCTCAGGATTGAGAGTGGAATTAAAACTATTTTTGTTCTTCAGAAAGGATAAAACACAAAATTCCTCCCCCAACAACATCTAGAGATTCTAGGTGGTGCAATTTCTAAAGTTAACTAGAAATTTTAAATGCATAAGCTATTGAGAATCATGGTCTCTTTATCAGGACCTGAGGGAAAATGATGAATGTAAGCTTGAAAATTCTCAGTAAGAGATGTTTTTAGTTGGGTAGGCAGGAGATGTTTCCGTGCAGCCTCCAAAGAGGACTGTTTGGGTCATCCTGTTTTTATGTCAGCTGTTTTCATAACAGATGCCACACTGGTCTCTTTGGGAGGCAACCTGTATCGATCATTAAAAAGCTGAACATGAAAGACTGGCTGAGGTGCAGGGTGGTCATTCTGTATGTGGAAATACAGTTACAGAGAGGAAGAGGGAAAAGATTGAGCCACAGAAAGGAACATCCATGCACAAATGTATATATGTAAATATATTTGTAAATGTATATGTATATGTGTGCATCATATATGTATTTTCATCTTGACATTCTGTACTTGTCTGCCTGTGCCTTCCACAGTGCCTAACATTCACTAGGTGCTCAGTGTTTGTCTTCTGTTCTGATGATCTGTCGCTAGTACAGAATCCCATGCAACAGTGGGAAAAGAGGTTTAAGGCACACTCACCACTGGCGTGGATACGTCGTTTGGGGTATGAAATAGCTTGAAGGCTCCAAGAGGCCACTTAAAAAAATCACAATAGCTACCTTTTTAATTCAATAAACGTACTGAGGACTTACATGTAGGGTACTCTGTCTGCTACACATAAAGATAAATAACATAATTCATGCTCTTTAAATACTTAAATTGGCTGCAGTGCTAGAGTGTCATATCTCCATTAATAGTGTTATATGGACTAAAGCAGTTTTTTTAAAAGGGAATCAAAATAGACCTGCATTACACTGAATTCTGCTGCAGAAGAAAGTTTTGCTATACAATGCAATTTTTAAATATGATTACATTAGAAGTAATCCGTGTTCATGTATTCAAGTAGAATAACTTGAACAGTAGAAATAAAGTAATGACTTTGCTTGCTTTTGTCTTGAATTGTTAGCCCTTCCATCGTTGCCCTAAGTAATATATTTATGCTTTTATTTCTAGATGTATCAACTTTAGACAGTACCTAATTTCTGATATGAAAAACAAGAGATAAGGTATTTAATATACTTATACTGCCACCTCCCCTCCCTTACAATTTTATTAGTTATATTATCAACTTCATCGTCTCTAGCAGTATTTGTAACTTTAAACATGTTTCATCTTCTATTTCTTGATTAATCAACTTCTGACAGTCTCTTTTCTTTTATGCTGTATAAAGTAAGGAATCTCACCCATCTGTTTTTCCCTCCCTCCTTTCCTCTCTCTCTCACACACAACTCGAAACAGCTGTACCTTTCCTTTTACATTGCCAAGATTTAAAGTACTTGCATATTTATACTCTGTTTAGTAATTATTAATGAATCATCCTCATTCATATTAGTTTAGTTGTTAGTTTAATTTTTGGACTTGCCTACAGGTCAGTTAGAAAAATTATGAACCAATAATGAGAATTTATAATATTGTAACAATATAAATCTTAGTCACTAAAGAACAAAAGTAGTCTGAGTGGACCTGCACAGAAGGAAATTTCACTAAAGGTGAATGAGAGCAAATGTTCCGTGCACTTATGTCAAATGAATCTCACTGTTATACTCCATCATGCCATGGATTAGTTTGTCTCAAGTAAAGGCTGTGCCTTTTCCTAAAAAATAGTTAAATAAAGCATGCATTTAAGGTACATAAAATCTTACATTTCCATGAAATGTATATAGACAGTTTTAAAATATTAAGATGAATTAACTGGGAAAACACCTTTCAGGCCAGGAACAGAACATTGCCAAAAAGCAACCCAGAAGCTCCTGAGTGCCTCCACCTGCTGGTGACCTCTTCCCACTGTCCCTGCCAGCGATCTAGCAAGGAATTCTGTGTTAATCATTCCCTTTTGTTCTTGATAGTTTTACCATTCCTATATGTCTTAGTAAATAAACTATGCTCTGGTGGTGCCTGTTTTTAAACTCGATGTGAACGGAATCATCCTGTGGGCATTCGTTTGAGACTTAATTCTGTCACTCAGAATTATGATGTTTGGATTCAGCTATCAGGACGCATGGTTTTGGTTCATTCATCCTCACTGCTGTGCAGCACCTATTGTATAAAGATGTCGTGAGTTTTTTATTTGTTCTCCTCCTGATGGGTATTTAGATTTTTTCCATTATGAACAATGCAACTGCAATACTCAGGAACATCATTCCTTGTGCACACAGTAGGAGTTCTGGGTTGTAGGGCTCGCATACGTCCAACTTTACCAGCAAATCCTACACTGGTTTCCAAATTAACACTCCCTTCCATAGCGTGTGGGACCTCCTGTTGATCCACATCCACACCAACACTTGCTTTGGTCAAACTTTTAAAGAATTTTTTTTTTTTCTTTTTCGTCTTTTTTTGTGACCGGTAATGGGATTGCAACCCTCGGTGTTGCGCCCATACCGCGACCGGCAACGGGATCGCAACCCTCGGTGTTGCGCCCGCACCACGCTCAACCAGTGAGCAGACTGGTCTCTATATGGGATCTGAACCCTCGGCGGGAGCGCCGCTGCGCTCCCAAGCGCCGCACTCTACCGAGTGCGCCACCGGGCCGGCCCTAAAGAATTTTCTAATTTAATAACACAGAATGAAATTTTGTTGTAGTGTGTGTAGTTCTCTGAATGCTAATGAAGTAAATATTTCGTATTTGCACTTTTGTGTCAT